CTACTCTCCAAGCTCTCCAGCTGCTGCCCCATGGCCACCCCCATGGCCCTGTAGAACTCCACCACTTTCCTGTTGTGCGCGTACGCCCGCATGCGCCCGGAGTCCAGGGCGATGTCGTGCACCGCCGCCATGACCTCCGGGTCATCGAACCCCGCCGCCAGCACGGGGTCCTCCTGGATGCGCCTGACGCTCTCCTCCGTTGGCCTCAACTTCTGAAGCAGGTCCTTCTTGGCCGCCTCCAGGCGCTCCATCTCCTTGGCCGCGGGTATGTGCATAAAGTCGGGTATGCTTCCGGCGTTGGTGTTCCTGTTCGGGCTCCCGCGCAAGACCGGGATGGCCTCCTCCGCGCCGGGCTGGGCGTCCCGCCCTCCTGCTCGCTTCCGTCGGCGAGACGCCGAGAGGAAGCCGCGCTTGAGGGACTTGCCCCACGCCAGGGAGCTGCCAAGCTCTCCTGCCTGGCCCGCGTTGGACGCGGACCAGCCTCCTTCACCCTCTGCGCACCCAACACGGGACTCCAGCGCCTCGACCTGCCAAGGCGGAGCGCGAATAACAAGGCAGAACGTGGAACGCAAACCTAAAACGACAACAAGAACGCAAAGCGCAGAACGCGAATAGCAATGCAGAAAGAAGATTCAAAAAAATTGAAGCAGAACGCAAAGGGCGGAAGACGTGAGTTGTTCGTCGTCGGCTTGGGCGCGGGATACGGTGCATTGGGCGAGCCGAAGGCGAGCCACCTGGCGCGGGTCTCCCGAGAGGGGCGGCGGCTCCTCGTCGTCGCTGCCGGACATGGTTGACAGGTTGGCGCACAGGTTGGCGCGCAAGGCGTCCAGGGTCCAGCGGCAGGCGGGGCTGCAGCCGTAGCAGCCCACGCCCTGCGGCCCACCCATGGGCCCTGCGGCCGGCGTGTTTATGGCGGGAATTCGGGGAGGGCGACGGAACGGGCGGACCGGGTTGTGTTTGTTTTTCCTTAGGGACCAATGTATGGGGGAAGGGGGCGCGTTGGTTCGTGCGGGTGCTGATGTCATGTTTGGAAGTACGTTTTAGTTCAAATTTGGAACATAGAGAAGGGACGGACTTTGCACGTACAATAGGGGCCGGCCCAACGCCACGTGTGTCAGACGCGTGTGGATTGCGATTGTCGAAGATCTCATGTCCGTACAGGCGCTGACCAGAGGCCAGAGCTTCTTGCGAAGAATGCGCCAGCCCCTGAAACATATGGCGAGCGTTAAGAAATGGCGAACGATCGCGAATGGAATGCCACTGATCACGTTGATTGGTGTAGGTTTCTAAGCTTTGTAATGTAAAAGCCGCGGCAGAGAGGACTGACCTCTCCCCTAAATATATTCTCAATATGGTCAACATATATTCTATAGATATTCAATATATATTCTCAATATATATTGACAGTTTCTTCGGTGGACTGTTGGCTATCTGCATTGGGACAGCATCATTCGGAACTTGGAAGGCTCCCTACGCAGAACGTGATGGGTGTGGTCTTTGTCATCCACAACTGGGATCGCTCCGTTGCGCTGCAGCTGCCGACTCGCAGCACATGAAAATTCCGTGAAGGAGCGTCACCGGTCGTGTTTCTGGTGGATGATCACGTCGCTCTGCGCTGTTCTTCACTGGACCAAGAAGACTTGCCTCAGGAATTGCTTTCGCATTCAGCTCTATCTTAGCCAAGGAGTCAGCCTATGGGCAGCAGCCTGTGCGCGCCGCGAGACTAACCTGATCAACCGACAGTGAGCCCAAGGCCAGAGCACTTCAACCACATTGGCGCTGCCCACCACAGGACGCATCACACACGCATCCCAGCGTCCCTCGCGCCTCTCGAAGCTCCCACTTCCCCCGCCAGCGGCGTCGATACAACAGTGACGTGTCCATGATGGACGGATGGTCGTCCGAGCACAAAGGGACAAGCCTGTCAGCGGTCTCTCTGCGTACAACAGAGTAATGCTCCGTTCCCTCAGCTGCGTCTCCAAGCCCACGCCCATGCCTGCCTCCGACATAATCTCACCCCGAAACCAGCAAATCAGCGGCAGGGCACAAATCTTCCCGGCTTCCCAAACCCCATCGCCATGACACGGTCATTCCTCTCAGGCCTCCAAAGGGTGCAACGGCTCCCGTCGAAGCGCAGACGCAAACGCAATCCTGGGAATTTTGATGTCGACCTGCCTCATCAACGCCCTGATCCCCCGTGGATCCTCGTCCGCCCAGTACGGAGTGTACTACAGGCGTCAACTCCCCGTCCCCGGGTCGTCAGCGCCCTCTAACCGATTAATGGCTGAAGAGTGAAGCAGGCGCGCCCTCCTCCCACCATGGCCCACACTCCCAAAGACAGCTGCCTGGGCGAGGTCCGACATCACCGCCAGTCCCCGGCGCCCCGGCGAGTCGGTAGGATGCGCGAGAACGCCGGCGTGACGTCGCCCGGACGCAAGCCGCGGCTCACACAATCGGCAAGGTCCAAGGGCAGCCGCCTGCCGAGGCAGCCGCATCCCGGCCCGAGGGCGAGCTTGCTGCTGAGCGGCCCGAGGGCGGGCGTCAACCCCGTGCAGGTCCAGTTCTCACGGGTCGGATCGATGGATTCGGAGCAAAGGACCGGTGAGCGGCAATGCGCGGTGCCGGGCTGCGCGCTCTGGCCGGCGGCTGGCGCTGTGATCTTTCGCTCGCGCGGACGCCGGTACGCTGGGTGTGCCGAGGGAACCGCCTGAACCCCGCCGCGCGTCGCAGCCTCGGTGCGGTGCGGCGCGACGCGAGCCGTCGATGCGGGCTCAACGCTCAATAGATCCGAGGAATCCGGGGCTGCCCGGCGTTCGTGCTCGGAGCAATTTTTCTTTTTCTCCCTTTGATCGCCTCTCTGTACCTTGCGCGCTCTTGCCTCCGCGGACGTTGAGCGTTCCGTCGGGCTGGCGCTGATCGACGGGGCGGGCGAGATGGCCGGAGGCTGCGGCCACGGCCTCGCGCGCGCGAGGGGCTGGACTCCTCACTGGTTCGCATTCTGGCCCTGTTCGTCGCTTCGGCGTCCCGCGAGGCCGGGAGGCCTTCGGGATGCAGCCTGACCTGACGCGGGCGCGCGGATGCGTCGTGTGGGCGCAGTGTCGAGGGATGCGGGGCTCGACGAGGAGATCGATCTTCTGGAGGTGGAGGTGGAGGCTCTGAAGGAGGAGCGGGACAGGGCGCTGTCGATAGGTGGGCGCTTCGCGACTGATGCCGTCCTCTGGGGCACAGCCTGTGGGTGTCACGTTGCGACATCTGCGCGTGCGACATGGGTTAGTCGATGTGGTGTTGGTGGTCTGGATTGCAGGCTCCTGGTGTCGTCCCCAAGGAAGCACGTGTGTGCAGGGCTAAAGGGCACTCGTTTGGACTAAATGTACGAAAGAATCCGAGAACAAGGCAAAATGACTTGCCTTAACGAGATGTCCTGTATCGGATGCCCCCAGAATCAAGCAAAGAAGTGTTGTATAGCTTGCAGTGGTCTGGATCAATTTGGCAAAGCAGCAATTGGCACGGCGAAAAGGAAGAGCGCCTGGGCGCTGGGTCCTTGCAACACGGGACCCAGTGATGTGCTCAGTGCGTTGCTGCTGCAAGCAGTTGTTCATTCCTATCAAAGCCCGGTGTGGCCCAGTCCAATTGTTTGGATGTGGGCTTGCAGGTGCTGTGTTGATTGATTTCTGTTGCAGTTGTGGTGTCTGGCAGCTGACAGTAGTGCCAAGAGGAGTGCGCGCCTGAGCGCCAATGCGGAAAAGCTAAACGATGCTGCTTTCAAGACAATGCGGTTAGGGGATAATGCAGGTGCAAGGAAACTCCTGCAGGTAGGTGGACGGTCATGTCAAGAAAGACCAGCCTATGTACCCTCCGTAGGTAGTCATCTTGGCTCAATGAGAATTGTTGCCTGAACAAACGCCCATTACAAGCACAGATGATGGTTTCTACCAGGATGGAACTGTTGATGAATGGCTGTCATGCAAACTACGTGGCTGTTGTTCTGTGCCTGTGCATCAAAGAGATTCTTGGTGCTGCCAGTTCTCTGGTGCAGTCTGCAGACTTTTTGTGCTGCTGCTTGCTGCGTGGTGTTATAGAGATATGTCCTTCCACTGATTCCAAATGTGCCTCTTTCCAGGAGAAAGCTACTGTGTCAATCGCACAGACCAGAGCCGACTCCCGTGCGGAAGCAAACATCACTCTGGCAGCCAAGCTCAGCGACATTTTAAGTATGTACTCAGTGACCCGACATATGTCAGTGGCCGTCATGAACATGTTCGTTGGGAGCATTCTCCCTTGTGGCAGCAATGATGACAGTGCAAGCTTGTTCAAGCAATAACTTGGATGTTGATCTTGGCTAGTGGCTTCCAATCTGAGTTCAAGTCCACCAGGGTTTTCCCATTGCACAGGGCCCAGCCAGTCCAGGAGTGGAAGATGTAAACAACAGGGATTCCCAAGTTTAAACCTGAACATAATCTGCTGTTGTGGACCAGGAGTCCGACAGACTAAGCTGATCAACCTGTACTCCAACAAGAAGAGACTAAAAGAGGGGGCCGTGGGGCTTTCAGTCAGCCCTGATGCAGCCATCTCTCATGGGCCACGACCAGCAGCGCCCATACCCGCAATCAACAACGCACGACACCAGGACAGGAGCAGTGGCGATGGGAACCCCTCGGCGCCTGGCTCCTTGGACGATTCGCCCAGCTGGGAGGACGATTACGAAAGCCTGGCTCGTTCCCTAACAGAGCAGCCCTTCCCCTGTGAGGAGGATTTGGAGGTCGCCTTTTTGGCCTTGGAGCGTAAGTCTCTGGAGCGCATGCTGGAGATTTCTCCAAGAACAGGTGGTGCTCCTCCATGGAGGGAAAGGAAGCCAAGATGACGGCTGTGAAGGCCGGGGTGCCTTTCATCATGCAACTGCGCAAGGGGGGAGAGGGGAAATTCATACATTTTGATTCTATTTTGGGGGGCTCCGTGTCCCATTCATCATGCGCAAGCGACTTTCTTCAGCTCGACATAGATCAGGCCGGCTTTGGGGCTTTGGGGGCAGCTAGGAGGTTGATGGGTCTGCAATGTCGCCCTTTGCAGGTTGCCTGAGCCCTCAGGGTGTTCATAAAGGCATAAATCGCATTTGTTGAAACGGATGAAATGTAGTGAACCAGGGAGAATTACAATAAACGGCACAAATTACCACTCGGTCTTCCAGAATCAATTGGGATCATGCTTGTCAGCACCCCCCTTGGCTACCCAGCCCTGTTGGTGCCAACGCCCCCCAACTCCACCCCCTCTTTGCATCTTTTCTGAGCTAAACACAACAAGCATCAATCCTCTGGCCCAATGCAACTGGACTCGCGACGATGTGCTGTAGCTATCCTTGTTCTTGCTATGTCCACCCTCACTTGACGTTGCTCTTGCTCACTCTCCAAAAAAGTGTGGCCCCCGAAATGGCCATGGCCATGGTGCACCGCACGACGAACGTTATTTCCAGAGCCCAAAAGACAGTCAGCCCGCCAGCGACGGCCATCAGCAGTGTTGCTCTGTGCCGGCGCCGAAGGGCCGCGATCAGCACAGCGAAGCCCGCCCTCGCAAGCCCATCAAGCAGCCACTTGTTCTCAGCGTACAGCCTGGGAAGCGTGAACAGGCCGATCCAGATGACGAGCATCAAGGAGGTCTGGAACAATAGCTTGAGTTCGCCGACGAGCATGACGAGCCACAGGCAGACAGCCAAGTAGAACTTCGGTGGTCCCCTTGGGGCAGAAAGGTGGCGGCTGGAAAGCGCCACAAACGGTGGCAGCGCAACAGCCGCCACACTGCCGACTGTGTAGATGCCTGAAGACACGCGATGGAGAAGCATTGTCTCCCCGTGCGGGTCGTGCTCAAGGACAGCCTGCGAGCCCTGCAGGGGGGCAGACCTCGCCAGCGAGTTGTAGATTAGGATGCACAGTGCCAAGCCAGCAAACACAGTAGTTGGCTGAAGGATTTGGATTCCTAAAGCGCAAACGCAACAGAAAGGCTCAGCGAATAGAAAGCGACTGAAAGACCCACGGCGCTGATATGGACACAAGACTGTGATAATGGGGCGGAAAACTCTGGCAGAGTGCACACAGCCAAGATAAATTCAGTGACTCATCGACGTAGTGAAAGGACTCTCCCACAAAATGTCCAATTGACACCAAGTGGATAGCCAGACTGATATGTGTTGACCCATTCTGAAAGCACGTGCTTGCACATGCCTACCGCGCAAGAATTATCAATGAAAGGGAAGGATCCAAAGGAACACTCGCACAAACTGCGTCCGCCAAGCACCACCAAGCATGCTGTGGTATGTATCAGTGCGCACCTGAGTCCAAGTACACCTTGATGCAAATGAGAAGGTACAGGCCACCGACGAAAGCTTTGGCACTCTTCCAGGCGTTCCGCCACATGAGTAGGCCCTCCAGCGAATCCACGTCCGATGCCAACGGCACACGCGTGGACAAATCCCCTGTTGAGGAGTCGCTCCCTTGGATCCGAAACAAACTGGAAAACTGTCCACTGCTGAACGGCTGCCATGGGTACACATGATGTGCTGCTGACGCAAGTGCTTGCATCGTCTTGTTGAAAGCGCCACTCATCCCAGAGGGCAGCATGGATGAGCCTTCAAGGATGGACGCTGGCTTCTGATGCACTTCATCTTCCAGCATCTCTTCGCTCCCTGCAGATCAACACATGTGCATTTTCGTCCTGCCCTGGGCTGTAGGCTGGAGCCAGAAGAGAAAGTACAGCAGAAGTGGGAATTCTCAAGGGACACGACTGGCATATGGACCTTGATCGTATCCCTATGATCAATGTCTGGACACAAAGGAGCCAGACCAAACCTGCTGGTGGTCCCCACGTTGTTGACAGTGGCAAGACCTCCATCAGGCAAAACCGCAAATTGCAGTTCCTTCATACAACAATCTGAGCGTACACAGAGTAAGAATACCTCCATCGCTGGACGCATCGACTGGATGAGTAGCCAAGCCCCCTGCACTGCACTTTGACCCTGTTGCTTTCAAACCCAATGCAGAATCTGTGCTGGGGTCTGGTCTCTGACTGCGAGCGCCCCCTTCAGCACGCTTGTCCCCTCGTTCTTTGGCATTCGCAAGCGATTTGGAATGCTGCTGGCCCTTCTTCTTGTCTTGAAGGGCCACAAGCTGAGCATACTGTGATTCGTCACAGGCACAGCACGGAATCAGCACAGGCCACAGTCAAGCACTCACAATGCTACAGTTTCACACTTCATGTGCGAGTCTCGATGGGGACATTGTGCAAATGTGGTGGAAATCACTGGCAGGGCCATTTGTTCTGGGACTTCCCTTGAGATAATATTGTGCAGTATTATGGCTGTGCATGGTGGCCCTGCTCATCAGTGCTTGACGGTTCATCCACTGCTGAAGCACAAGATTCTGGTTCTTCAGTTTAGGATCCACAACCGAACATCAGGAACACACCACACATGACAATTAAACACGTTTGAGCACAGGGCACAATGATCAGCTGGAGCAATTTGCTGCCTGTCATCTCGCCAGCAGTGTACCAAATAAATTGCTGTGTGGCTCGAGGAGTTTCCCTCCAGATGCAAATGCCCGAGTCTCTGTGCTCTTCCAGCAATTTGGGCCAGATACTGGAAAACTGGCCTGATGGGCAACATTAGGCCAGCCAAAAATCGAATGCGCGGTTCCTTAACAGCAACGCAGAGGCTGGAACGCTGGATACAAGTTCAATGGAAGTGCTCTCTGAAGTGCACTTGCATCAGCTGTCCTGCAGGTTTGCACTGTCATGGCTATGCCACCCAGATGGTTCATACAGAAAAAGCTCAGGATGGTTGCCAATTGCAGCTTCCTTGGCCATGGCACCAACAAGCACGTATTGTGAGCAACCTGGACCATGTTCTGAAAAGATGGCTGATGGGATGCCTGTGGGTGGACAGTAGCGTGGCTTTTCAAGCTTGAAAAGTCACCTTGGTTCCCATCCCACGGTGTTGTCCTGGCTTTTTTGGTTCTGGGGACCAAGCTTTCAAGCCCTCTACATCCCCCTCATGGGAGGCCCGTCGTCCCTGTGGAGGCATGGACTTTGTCCGCTCCAGAACAGAGTCGTCCTTCACCTGACGGGCTTGTGACTGTGAGTGTGCCCTCGGCAAGAGGCCGGGATTGGCTTCCTTGGGCGCGGTGCCCCTGCTAGACCGTCTGGGCGCCGGGGGTTGCGAACTCATGGCTGCCAGACCCTAGAGGAGCAAAAATGACGCACCCGTGAGCATCCAATACTCACAAATTTGAACGGCAGCCTTGCTCTGAATTCATCCCCGGCTCAATGTGGCAGTTTGCTGCGCCACCGCATTTAAGCAGCCTGCCGCATATCGGGTTGATGGCAAAGAGCGTCGCTCACCCATCCTTTTCGATGCCGCCTTGATCGTGATGTCAAACGCAACACCGGGCTGAAAGTTAACGCATGAACGGAAAAAGACGACTCCGGCATGCGCCATAGCGAACGCCGGGGCACCTTTTGGGGACCTGGACGCCCAACCAGAGCGACGCGGCCCAAACTGGTCAAGGCGCTCCCCGATCGGAGATCACGCCCTTGATGGCCCACCCAATTGCGCGATCCTAACGGCCATGTGTCCACACGCAGCGGAATGCGTTCACTTGACCGTTTCAACGACACCGGGTGGCTATGTGCGCAAAAAACTACTCTTTGTTGACGTTTGTTACACAAATTACCGTCAGGGCGGGGCCTGCACGCCTCTCCCCTCTTCTCGGGGTCTGCCTACGAAACGGTCCGCCCTCTTTCACTTTCGACGCCTGGCGGCATCGCAGCCCACGTACAACGGTTGGATCGAGCCGATGCAGGGCCGCAAAACCTGTGTCTGCCGCGTTGGGCTGCCCGTACTACCGGGACCCGGGGTCCAACGATGGTTCAACTGCTTTCCTGTAAGGCACGCCCGCAGTCCCCAACCCCTCCCTGTCCAATCGCTGAGCCTCGCGACCACACGACACCAAATGAATGCCATTTTCCCCTCGCTTTGCTGCCCTCGGAGATTCAGGAAGGCCACAAGCGCAGCATCCCCACAGCCGGGGGCGCCCTTGGATGCCGCTTGCAGCTGCCCCGCACCCACCTGGCCTCCCCCCTTCCGACGCGCCCCTATGCCTCTGTGGTCGCCCGTGCAGCAGTGGGTGGCGATCCGCCCGCGGCCTGCCCTGTGCGCCCCGCTGGGCCTTGTGCGCCTTCGAGGCCGCGTCTTGGGACAGCTGGTGTGACCTTCACGGGCAGCTGGTGGGAGTGGTGCGAGATACCGACTGGTGTGCTCTTTTAGTGAAGGGCGCCAACCAAGGGGGGAGGGGGATTTGGGATTTGGCCCAAAAAAGCTGGCCCCCAACTCCCTCACCAGGGGCCCGAAATTAGCCGCTCTGTCTTTTCCGTGAAGACCCCTCCTTGTTTCCACACCCTAAAACCCTGAACCACTGACCCCCTGACCCAGGTTGGCCTTGTCAGCAGCAGAGGAGGGGATCCTCACTGAAAAAGCAGAGGAACTGGTATATTCTGCTCACCAGGCGGCGCCACAAGCACCCCATGGGTCACCTCCGTCACCTGCCAGCTGCAGCTGACTTGGGAATTGCACTTCCATTGTCGGCAGGGTAGCAACTGAATTTATCAATTTATCAAAATAATAATGATGATGATGGTGATGATGATGAATTTATCAAGTCAGCCAATATCTGAATGTTTCCAATGCCACGTCGGCTCATGAGCCAGTTGCTTCCCCGGCAACGCACCGCACTTTGCAACTCCATGTTCGCTTTCTGCTCTGTCAAGTACGGTTAGATGGTCCCTGCCCGACTATTCGACTCTGAGCTCCTTCCAGCCTTTGCGAAGGAAAGGATACCACAGCGCCCACAGATGCGGAACTCCCGACCTAAACCAATTTTTTGGAACGAAGCAAAGCCAAACGGTTGTGCTCGTTAAGAGTAAGCAACAGTACGCTGTGCGACGGCAATTACTCACCCACTGACATCGGGAGGGCTTCCGCCGCCGCGGTTTCGATGCTTTGCTGCCTGGCGCCTCTTGGTGGCCTTTGAGGAGCCGTGAAACGGCGGCTCGGCCACCACGGGGCGCCGCTCACGCCCTATCCCGCAGTGCGCGGTGTGCGGCGACGCATTCCCAGACACAACCTGCTTGGTCTAGTGAATCGAAGGCGCAATCTGCCGTCATGGCGACCGTGCTCGAGAAGCAATTGCAACAGCTGAGCCGCTCTCGGGGCTTCGCACCCAAGCCCAGGTCGCGCACCAAGGCGTCTTTGCTGTTTGATCAAAAGGAAGCGGCGGCCCTAACTGCAGAGGAGATCTTTCAGATTGGGAAAGAAGGTAAAGATGCGCACTGCGTCTTGGCGATGAACCATTGATTGAGTTGTCGATCGAGTTGACAGTTGGCGGTGCCTCATGTCCATTGAGGGAATCAATTTGTGCAGCGGCACTGACGTCGTACCTCAATCTTGTCCGTCGCTGTTGAGCGCGCCCACAATTTGTCAGTGCCGCTGTTGATGTGTTCTGTGGGATGTGTTCTATGTGTTCTAAATTTGGGTCTAACTTCTTGCCAGTCTTTCATTGCGAACAACACAATTACGTTGAGAGAACTCTTGGCAGTTGGGAGTGGCGAGATGCAAAGGGTGTGTGAAAGTTGCAGAAGCAAATTGTGAGTCTTCATTTCGTTGTGGTTGAATATCTGCACTGTAATACCAGTTCAGACAATTGGCAATTCAAACCACTTGAAACCACTGGAAAGCACTGCGGCTAGCAATCCCATGGTGCTAGGGCTGCATTGATAAGGACAGTTTGGCGACTGCGATTATTCTCAAGCATGGGCCAGGGTCAAAGCTGCTAAAAAGAACATGGCCGTCCCTGTCGCGCATCCCACCAAGCCAGAACTGATGTCTGTGACCAGGGTACGAGAGTCTGTGCAGATTGGACCGCCGATTTGCACCTTTTGGCGCCACTTTGTTTGGGGGCGTTCCCCAGGAAAGAGACCTTCTCACAAGGGAGGAAAACAAGAAGATTGATGAGTCAGTTAAACTATTTCTGAGGATTCTCACTGACTACTTTCTGGACCAGTCAGCTACTCGAGCTCTTGAGCACCTTGTCAGAAGCTTTCGGTATGTGTTAAGGGCACTGGCGGATGTCTATATCTCGATTTCTAGACTGTTGGCTGAACTGATTCCCACGATAGAACGGCAACAAAGCAACTTTGCAGCTAATTCCTGATGCAAGAGCCAATGGTTTGAGGTCGCCACTGTCTGCACCAGCATTGTTTCGTTTGTGTATGGTGGTTTTGAACTGTCGTTTATGTCCAGAGAAAACTGTTACAATCAACTCAAACAGCAGGAATTCTCCATGGCAGAACGTGTCCTTTCCAACTGAATATTTCATCTGCCTTGCTCAAACTGGCGACTTGTGCTGTTCTTATGTGGCAGAGAAATCTTCGGGGCCATTGTGAATCCATTGTTGGTGTTGAGGTTCTGCATTTGTGAAGAAGATAGACAAGTGCACAACAAACACATGTAGATGTGCCCCACTGGCAGGAATATGTGCAAGACACACTACCAGCACACATTTTGTCC